AACTTTGTGCAAAACTCGGGAAAATGCAATAATTTTGCATACAAATTCGCAACTTTCTATTCAGACTTTTTTATAAAAATTTTGAAAATGAAAATGCAGCCCATAAAAATTTAGTTGATTTTTGGTATTGTTTTTACTGAGAGTTTTTTCCAGACAAACTATGTTCGAAATTTTTTTGTATGCGGAAGACACTCAGCAAAAAATAAATAATTGCAAGAAATCAACGAAATTTTCTGGTAACTTCAGACTTGCACTTTACTAATTGGCTCAAAAGCTACATTTTCAAAATTTGTGATCAGATGAAAGAGTATCCGAGCCAATAATTTTGTACGGCACGGTACTTATAAGTAATCAATGAAAAAACATTAAATACAAGGTAACATTAAAATATCAGTCATTTGTTTCGTTGCTGTGAGCTTGTTTCAAAACTTCTGGCTTTTGCTTAATATAATTGTAAAACTCTGTGCATGTCATTTTAACGTATTTAGATACATACTTATATTAATTATCAACTATTGCTTGTGCAAAACGTGCTAAATTAAAAAAAAAAAATCGCATATGAAAGAGCACCAACCCAACTCGTAATACATTTAAGTATACAAATTTTAGTATATAGTATAGATATATTCAATTCAAATACGCCCATATTAAAATGAAGCGATTTGCAATTACCGATTGCTTTTTCATAATTAAGTTAAAAAAATATTTAAATTCCATGCTGCCTGTAATGGGATTTGAACCCTGACGCTCTGGAAATTAGCAAATTGTGGCAAGCATCTTCGTGCACTCGGCTACAGCCAGACATGCAAATGTACATTCAAATGTTCATTTTGATTCAACACCACTTGTTCGTGGTATGAAAGTATTGTTTTTAAATACGAACCCTTTAAACGATAATCAAATAAAAAATGTTCATGTTTATTGCGTTATTTCCCCCAGTAAATTCATAAAATTTTTCTTAATATTACAACGCATTTTTTCTCTCAGTGTATTTATTCAAAATTTGTGCCATCAAATCGAAAACCGGGACACTTAAATGAAACCCGGGACATTTTAAGGTTGGACCGGGACACCGGGAGAAATAGTCTAAAACAGTGACATGTCCGGGAAAACCGGGACGTCTGGCAGCCCTACCTTAGATATACCTCGTTTAACTGCCACAGGGTTTTTTGGTGGTTTTGAAGTAAGGTTCCTCCTGTACTCCTCCACCACCTCAGGTGTACAGTACCGGCCGCTGCATTTTTGGCAATCTTGTCAAGAATGAAGACAGCCCTGTTGTACCTCGACTTGTTGGGTTGGGGAATGTCGGTGCGGGCGTCTGTGTGCATAGGAGCTGCAGCCCACGGCCGCCACACGAACTACGGGTGAGCAACCTTAGACTCCAGTCCTATACCCAGTACCCCTCTTGTTTCATGGTGCTGTACCCGGCACACCAGTATGACTGACATAGCATCACTTAAGCCCCATCCCCAGCGGCAATTAGACCGACATGGTGAGGTAGATGATCTTTGTAAGTTTTGCCGGAATAACAATAGCCTTCTTGGTGCCCCACACGGTTGCAGTGTTTGCATTTATGCTTACTGAACGGACATTCGGATGTATAATGCATAAATCCGCAAAACCAACACGGTATTTTTGGAACTCGCTTGTTGTGGATCTTCGCCTGCACCTTTGTAACTATGCGTGTCTCATTTTCGTTTTCGATTAATGCTGTGTCTGTCTTTAGATTTAATAGCCGCTTACACTCTGCTGACAACTTGTCATGTGCAAGGGTTTCTTCGCCGCTGTCTAGTCTTGTAGGCAACTTGGTTTTAACCCCAAAATCCGCTGGAGAATTTAACCCCGTGATGAAAATTAAACACTTGAATTGGTCTAGCGTTAGTTGATTAAGTTGAAATTTTTTACATTCTTTATTTACGTTGATTGCGAACGTTAAAAACATCTGCAATAGCAACTTTGGTTATCTGTAGGCACTGATAGCGCATGTTAAAAAGAGACTTTTGCGAACCAAAAAGTTTTGTGAACTTTTCCGCTGTTTCTTTGAAGGTGTGGTCTCGTGGATGTTTTGGAAAATGAAATTTACATACTTGGTATGCTCTAGGACGCTAAGCTTGCGTAAGAGTAGGCGGACTTTGGTTGCGTCGTCAGGATTTGCTCCTTTGACTTCAAACAAATCTTCGTACCGTGCATACCACTCGTCAAAAGTGATGTTATCTTCAACGCTAAACGATAACTCTTGAATACTTGTTCAATGCCTCTATACGGAATTCTGTCGAGTTTTCAGCTTGTATCGTGTTGCCTGATGGCTGTTTAATCTCCAGAAGTTACTTCACCAGCTCTTGCATGGCGGCGCTGCCTTTTTCTCGCTGCTGTTGCATTTATTGGAAGAACGCCTTCATTTCAGCATTCGTTATTTAGATGACTTTGTATTATGGCCAAATACTTGTTTCTACTTTTTTTTGGAAACAAAGTTCTTTTCCACTTCTTTAGAATACTTTGATCCTTGTGGCCATTGATACGCTTAATATATATAATCCTTTATTTAAACTATAAAATATACAAAAAGAAAAGAACGATTCTAGAAAAGAGCTGTCTTCTCGACATGTGCGCAAAAAGTGTTACTCTTGTTATTTGACAGTTATATCTATATTTCATATAATAAATTTATGCTTGTGCCATAAAAAAAAGATATAAAAAAAAGATTTTTTTAATTAAATTTACATATTACAATAAAAATCCTAAATAAAAGAAAAGGAATTAAAAATAAATAAATTAAAAAAAGTAAATTATAAAAATAAATGAAACATGGCCTTATAACAATTATATTCAACTTATTAAAGTTTTCATTCATTCACTTACTCATTTCGATAGTCAGTCGCTGCATATTTACATTTGAAAAATACAATTAAGCTCATGGCGGACTCAGCGCTTGCGTACATAGGATCCTTGAAAACATCACAACATGAGTGAAGACATTTATTTCGTTACTACTACTTACTTACCGCTAGTATATCTTCACCGATATTAGCACAGCTGCAAAGCTCAAGGTTGAAACGCGCTTTCAGTGGTTCGTACGTATCACGTTCCCTCAAGAACTTAGCGGCATTAAATACGAAGTCTTTCGTTACACCATAGCAATAATCCAGCGTAATTTTTCTCAAGTTTGAACAAGTCTTTATTACATTCAGCAAATCTGTATTCCAGATGTTTGTCGTATGTTCCAGATAGAGGGTGTGCAAGTTTTGTAGACCGCACAATTGGGACAAGCTATTCTCCGCGCCGTTTCTAATACGAAATCCCAGTTCTCTGTCAGTGAGCTTACTTAGTTGAGCGATCCCTTCTACACTGGATAAGCCGCAAACGGTGATTACTTTGATATTTTTGTACTCTGCAATTGCCTGTAATAGCGCGCGGCGACTCTTTGCGCCTTGGCTGCAAATACTTTCAATAGTTAATCTCTGCAGGCTGCCAAATTTGCCTAGTAAATTACGCCATTTGATACTTGGCTGCCAGTTGAGTGTTAAGCTTTCCAGCATTGGAAATTCATATTTGTGGAAGTGGTCTTCAAGGTCAATGTAACACCCAACTATGTCTAAGTGCTTCAGCGTGCATAAGTTATATCACGCAAACTCGTGCAGTTCCTAAGGTACAATGTTGTGGGAGTCAATAAAAAATTTATGAAAGCTGTAAGTAGCACAAAGTATGATTAAAATTGTTTGACGGGATCAATATTTCTTCAGAATTTCTACGAAATTTGCTTTCGATGTCCAAACCGATGTAGAGCTGTTCGTCCTACAAAATGAAGTTGGAATTTAGTGCAATTGAATGGTGCCGGAAATAAAATAAAATGAACTAAAATAATTTGCGGCAGCGGGGCCAAAGCATCATCAAAGCCGTGATTACAGCAATGATATTACCGGACACGAAAATACTAACCTTCATTGATGGCAATTTTCTTTGTGATATTGTCTACGCTAAGCGTTTGCATTGTACTGCCCCCCACATACCCTTATTGTCTAACTTATTTGCTCAGCGAAGACTAAATTGTAGCTTTTTCTATATTGTATTGTATGTGCGCCCTTAACACTTACTTCCTTACGACTTCGTTAACATTTTCTGAAAGTATACCCATCCAGTTGTAAAACACTCGATGGATTTGCAAACGTAGCTCGTATTTTTAACCGACTTCCAAAAAAAGAGGAGGTTATCAGTTCGTCGGAATATTTTTTTTTCTTTTATGTATGTTACCGCACACCACTGGACTACGTCAACCGATTTCGATAATTCTTTTTGCATCAGAAAGGTAGTGTCTCAGATGTGGTCCCATAGACGGGTTTAGATCCGATCATTGGATTATGAAATACATATAGATATATATATTTTTTTAAGTCGGTTTTTTTTTGCTAAAAATTACTTGTTATTTTACAGCCTACTAACGCTTTCATGCCTCGGCCTAAGTAGTTTTCAAAAAAGTCGAAAAATTGGTTAAAATAAATGTCTGAGCGAAATTAAAGGTTAAGACACATATAATAATAAGTTTTTCATTAAAAAACCGCCTCAAGCTCAATAAAAATTATTGAATATAATTGTTATAAGGCCATAAAATAACAAAAACAAACAACTTAAGGACGAGCACACCTAAAAGTGGAACATTCTAAAAATAGAATAAATAACAAAAACCAACAACCACATGATCAAGTGTAAATTGCAGCGGAATAGCTGCGCTTGATTGTGTTGGCTTAACAAATGAAAAAGTGGGAAAAAGCAACGATAATTTACAAGGCGAACTTAGCACAGTGCGTAGGTAACTGGCTGAGTCAGTGGGATTGTCGGTTCGAAGCCTACTGAAAGAAGTATGATGAGGAAATGTGGTGATTTCCGAAATAGCTATCACTTCTACCATTTTTTTCAAATTATTGTTGCTTTTCCACAATAAGTTTTTCATTAAAAAACCGCCTCAAGCTCAATAAAAATTGTTGAATATAATTGTTATAAGGCCATAAAATAACAAAAACAAACAACTTAAGGGCGAGCACACCTAAAAGTTGAACATTCTAAAAATATAATTAATAACAAAAACCAACAACACATGATCAAGGGTAAATTGGAGCGGAATAGCTGCCCTTGATTGTGTTGGCTTAACAAATGAAAAAGTGGGGAAAAAGCAACGATAATTTACCAGGCGAACTTAGCACAGTGCGTAGGCAACTGGCTGAGTCAGTGGGATCGTCGGTTCGAAGCCTACTGAATGAAAGAAGTCTGATGAGCAAATGTGGTGATTTCCGAAATAGCTATCACTTCTACCATTTTTTCAAATTATTGTTGCTTGTCCACAATACGTTTTTCACTAAAAAACGGCTCAATAAAAATTGTTGAATAAATTAAATAAAAAAAATTTTTTTACCACGCGAGTGTTTTGCTCTGACGGTCATTGGGACCATCTTGATAATTTACATCTCGTAGGACACCGCAATGTTGAAAATACAAGTATACATTGCAATATTATAGAGGTAATATCCGCATTTTTCAGTAAAGATTAAAATTAAATATTTGCGCACAGATACCTCCACGAAAAATTTAACAATTTTAGGATAAAAATTCCAAAAGGTCAAAAGTCAAAAAATGAGCAAACAAAATTAAAAAATCTGTCAAAAAGTTTATAAAATCGAGTTCCACTAACTGAAGTACGAGTTTTAAGGGCTGAAAATTATTATTAGGATTAGTTTTCAATAAAAGAAATGTAAAAACAGCAATTAAGTAAAGATTTTGAAGTAATTTCATTGACAAATGAAGACAAACTCGACCCGAACATGGATATTTTTTTGATCTAAATTATCTTCAAATCCTGATCTGGTCCAGCCAAACTGCATACACACCCAAAGTTTATATATTTTTCATTCATACAACCTTTCAGTAGAATTTCGCATTCTTCATATGGTTCAACTGGTTTCTGCATGCTAACTGATTTATATTTGGGAATAAGTTCAACATCTACCCGGTTTTTGGATTTATTGATGTCAGGAAAATCTGAGTTTTGAAACGTGGGTCGCAAACTATAGCAACAGAGAAGCATTAAGGGACGGTACGATATGTTAGCTTGCATGCTAGCTCGATTTTCATAACATTTTTTAATAAAAGACATCAACTACGTGTTTTTTTGCTTAGCGGCATTCATTGTTGTTTATCTTTAGTTTTTGACGTTTCTACCCTATTTTCCAAAAATAATCGATAAATCCGGGTTGCAGACGGAGAAAATATCTTTTCAAAACACGGACCTAACCTGTGTAATCGATGTTCAAAGTCAGAATCGTTAACCACTGAGCTATGTACATCCCGTAGACTCTTGTTGCTAATTCATTTTCCTTATTCAACCAACTACAATCAAGTTCAGCTGATTCTACCGCTTAGACTTTGTTGCTTTTTCAATTTTTCCTAATAAACAATCGTGGTACAAAGCTCAATAAAAATATTAAAAATAAAAATGTTAATAAGCCTGCCTGAAACTATACAAAAAAGCAAATAAGCAAACGGATATATATAATTGACAACAACAACCACGCTGTCGAGTTTAAATAGCGGCAAATCAGCTGCACTTGATAGTAGTTGGTTGAATAAGGAAAATGAATTAGCAACAAGAGTTTACGGGATGTACATAGCTCAGTGGTTAACGCTTCTGACTTTGAACATCGAATACGCAGGTTCGATCCCTGCTGAAGTCTAGAAAAAAGAAGTCTGATGAGGAGATGTGGTTATTCCGAAATAGCTGCTGTAACTTCTACCGCTTAGACTTTGTTGCTTTAGTATGAAAAATAAATGACGGTTGAAGCAGGTTGGATGCTAGTAGGTCATATATATTCGATTGGTAACTCCGCTGTGAATCAAGTTAGATACCTGTAATTTAAGGTTATTTGACAAGTTGATCCCAATCGCCCCTCCCCAAATAAAATCCTGTATCGCCACTGCAATATAGTTATGTTAGGATTTTTTATAAGCGACATACTTATAACCTGATTATCTGCTTTTTCTAGATGAATTATCCAATATGTAATTAAGAATACAAAATTTCTCCTCTGACATCTCGTAGTACATCGCAATGTTAAACCTACCAGTCGCTAACATTGAAAAAGGAGAGAACGTGAACTAGTTGTGTTGAAACGCATGCTGGTACAATTCTAGTTCACAACTAGTATCTTTCCCTGCTTCGTTGATGACAAAGCCAACAAAACGCTGCTTTCCCTTGGTCTCGGCCACTCGGACTATCCTCCAATCACGCGTGGGCAGTCCTTCGCTGCCCAGTCGGATGAATTCCAGAATCTTCTCCGGCTTTGACGGTTCACCTGCATAGACCCATCAGTACGGACTTCCAATTGCTAATGTGGCCGTCNATTTACGCCATGTACATAGCTCAGTGGTTACCGCTTCTGACTTTGAACATCGATTACACAGGTTCGATCCCTGCTGAAGTCTAGAAAAAAGAAGTCTGATGAGGAGATGTGGTTATTCCGAAATAGCTGCTGTAACTTCTACCGCTTAGACTTTGTTGCTTTAGTATGAAAAATAAATGACGGTTGAAGCAGGTTGGATGCTAGTAGGTCATATATATTCGATTGGTAACTCCGCTGTGAATCAAGTTAGATACCTGTAATTTAAGGTTATTTGACAAGTTGATCCCAATCGCCCCTCCCCAAATAAAATCCTGTATCGCCACTGCAATATAGTTATGTTAGGATTTTTTATAAGCGACATACTTATAACCTGATTATCTGCTTTTTCTAGATGAATTATCCAATATGTAATTAAGAATACAAAATTTCTCCTCTGACATCTCGTAGTACATCGCAATGTTAAACCTACCAGTCGCTAACATTGAAAAAGGAGAGAACGTGAACTAGTTGTGTTGAAACGCATGCTGGTACAATTCTAGTTCACAACTAGTATCTTTCCCTGCTTCGTTGATGACAAAGCCAACAAAACGCTGCTTTCCCTTGGTCTCGCCAACTCGGACTATCCTCCAATCACGCGTGGGCAGTCCTTCGCTGCCCAGTCGGATGAATTCCAGAATCTTCTCCGGCTTTGACGGTTCACCTGCATAGACCCATCAGTACGGACTTCCAATTGCTAATGTGGCCGTCCGGATGGCCCTTGTCCAACACCGCCAGCGTGCGGTGGTCTTTGACGGCCATGGACGGACGGTTTTGGATCCACTCGAGTCGTGTCCTGAGATCGTTGTCTTTTGGGAGCTAAGTCCTTCCGTGAATTTGCCTTACCCGAGTGGTTTTTCCCGCCTTCCCCGGAGGATCGCTTGTCGCTGGCGGCGAAGATTTCCATTGCCCACTTGAGGGAGGCCTTTTGCTTCTCCGCCAGCTAGTCATGTGGAATGACTCCCAGTCGTTTAATGACCTTAGGGGCTGCCCTTCGGTCGCACTGAGCCCTGACGGAGGGCAGAATTATTTTTGCTGCATTGGAGTAGCCAGGGCGCCGATCGAGGTCGTTTGCCCCGGTCGTTGGAGTTTTACTCGCAGGAGAAGTCCTATGCTTGCCCGTGGAGGACTTAGCTCGGCTACTACCCCCTGCGAGTTGGATGTGCCCGGGGTGGGCATAAAGAGAGGGGCCGTCGACAGGTTCTCCACCGGCTTCGAATTTCCCTCGCGGAGTATAGTTCTGCCGGTATCGCTGGAAGTTTACTTTCCCTCTGAGGACTTAGCATTCCCTGGAGAACTGGAATCCGCATCAGAGCCGTTGGCGATTTCCTCAAAGCATTGCCATCCTGGTGGGGTCGCTCTTCAATAGGAGATTTCCATAGAATTTGGCCTTTTTCATATGATTCAACTGGTTTCAGCATGCTACATAACTGATTTATATTTACGAATTAGTTCACCCAGTTTTTAGATTTATTAATGTCGGAAAAAACCCAGTTTTGAAACGTGGA